TCAGCCTTTTCCCACATAAAGATCATTAAGTCCAAGTACCGTTCCACCGTGACTAATGATCTTTTGGAACTGAGCTTGAGGCTGGCTGTCAGCAGCTACTGTCCGGACTATGCATCCCTGGTTCATTCCATTCAGTGCAAGTCATCAGAGTAAACTCAGGTAATGACAAAAAATGTACGTAGTTAATTGTGTTATGTTCTGCAATATGGACTCATGCAGTTATGGAAGGTACATGAAAATACTTTGTACATATAATTCTAAGGCATTTATGAATAAATGTAATAAATAAATAAAATAAATTTATGTTTTGCATTTTTGTAGTTGGTAGATCATTTTGACTTGATCATTTTATAAGTAGCTCACATGCTGAAAAAGTGTGAGCATCCCTGGGCTCAAACTTTGGAACTTGCAGTTAACAGCCCAGTGCTTAACCACTATGCCATTAGAGCTCCTATGTGATTGTTAAGCTCTTCTTAACAAAAAAAGAAAAAGGGATTAGGAATTCCTGATTAGAACAAGAGAGCAACTGTGTTATGTCCACACAATGGAATACTACAGAGCAAGCAAGAGGGATGAACTATTGATATACCAATAACATGGATGAATTCCAAAACAATCATGCTGAGTAAAAGAAACTGGGACAGAAAACAAAAGCAAAAACTCAAGAGTATTTTTATTTAAAACTCTCTCCAATTGATTCCAACGGAGCCTATGAGCACAAAGCCTCACCCTTCTCCCCAGGAGCTACTGGTGGTTTGGAACTGTTGACCTCTTGGGCAGCAGCCTAATGAGTAACTCACTACACTAACAGGACATCTGACAACTGTGGGAGGATTTCCAGAAGTCCTGGTAGTGGAGCTGGTGGTCTGCAACTGCAGACCTTGGGTCGAAGGCCAGTGGGAAACCAATTACACCTCCAGGGCTCCTTATACCTCAGTAGAGCGGTTTAAAAAAGGAACACACTAGTACAGGGGTGGGAAGGAGGTGTGAAAGTCACAGACCTTAAGCTCGAGTTTTATCAGCTTCTTGATAAATCCGCCCCCGAGCGATTACTTATTCCTTGTGGTATAACCAACCGGGATGAGAACCTCCAGGCTGCTGCATGGTGATGTCTCCTAGTTTTGTGCAGGCACCTCAGTCTCCGGTGCGTGGGAACCAGCCTCTTGGTTTTGGGACACAAAGTGTCTTGAAGAAACCTGCACCCGTCTGACAGCTTCTTTGATTCTGAAACGCGGCAGCTAATAAGAGGTTCCTGCCTCTCCCAACTGCAGATTTTGGGTAACACGGCGGTAGGCCCACAAAACTTTCTCAAGAGCGCACGCAACTTGAACGTCAATCTGCTGGGCGCGCAGCACCGCCCACTCGTCCCGCCGCGCGGTTTGACCCTCCGAGCGACCCGTAGCGCTCCTTGGGCGGGGCCACGGCTCCGCTCCTGATTGGCCGCGTGCGCCACGCTCTTGCGTGCTCCGTGCCTGCGCGGGACGGCTGCCCGGTAGTGGAGATGTCTAGCCGATCCAAGCGGGAGTCTCGAGGTTCCACCCGCGGGAAACGCGAGTCCGAGTCGCGGGGCAGCTCGAGCCGCGTCAAGCGGGAGCGGGAGCGGGAGCCCGAGGCGGCCAGTTCCCGGGCTAGCCCGGTGCGCGTGAAGCGGGAGGCGGAGCCGCTGCCCGCTCGCGAGGTGCCGGCGCCCGCCTTCTCGGCGGTGCGCGTGAAGCGGGAACGCGAGGCCGACGAGGACTCGGAGCCCGAGCGGGAGGTGCGAGGTGCGCGAGGCCGAGCTGGGCTGAGCTGGGCGCGGGGAGGGAGTCGGGGAATAGAGACGCTCAGGAGGATTCTCCTAGCGTTGGCCATGACAATTCCGGGCCACACCAGTCACCCCGGAGCTGACGGGGCCTCTCGGCGAGCTCACAGGGCAGAGTAGAGCCGTCTTCCACGGGGTTTTCTTTGGGGAGTAGCTTGCCAGGTTTTTCTTTTGAGTCACCTCTGGGTGGGTTCTAACGGCCAACGTTTAGGGAGTCGCGGAACTCCTAACGGTCTGCTCCATTCAGGAACCGCTGGTCTCAGGAACCGCAGTTGTGTAATTTTTGTTTAAGTTGGAATATTTCCTTTATTGTTGACTGCTAATATTTTAATATGAACAACAACCTCTCTATCGAATGGTTTAAGGTGGGCAGGCACCTGCTGCACTCTGTTGATTACAGGGGTTGCCTCCTTCACAGTTTTTACAGTAGACCAGAAATGTACGTTTGGCTTAGGTCAGCGTTGGGTTTTTAACAGGGTAGGCCTTGGAAACCACCAGGCGTTCTGAGAGAGAAAGATGAGGTTTCCGAGAGTTAGTCTGGAAACCCACGGGGGGCGGTTGCACCCTGTCCTATGGGGTCACTATGACTCGATGGCATTGAGTTCAGGGTTTTGTCTTGCTGAGAATTTGCATCACTATCCCAAGGTATACTAAGAGACTCGTCAAAGTGATTTCCAAATGTTTCTTATATGCACAGAAAAGATCTGATTAACATGCAGCTTATGATTTAGTGTATCTGGGGTGGAAATGAACTAGTTAAAAATGCTGGTTTTCCTTTAATACCCTGAATCAACCCCTTCAGAGGTGAGAGCCTGGGTGGACATCTGCATCTTTAGGCTGTAACATTCAGGAGAGGGGGTTCGAGTCCTACATCTGGGACTGAGTAACTGAGTTTTGGGTAGGTGGGTTTCACATTTTTGCCTGTAAAGTAGTGGAAGTGGTTGAATTCCCACTTTGCCTCCGTTTTGTGGACGCTGACCTCTAGCACTCTGTGAGAGGATGAGCTTTTGACACATGATTACCTAGCCTTGTTTCCTAACTGATGTTGTTTCCTAACTGATAGGCTCTCTGAAAAGGAGCCCTGGGGTGACATAGTGGTTACTCATTGGGCTGCTAACTGCAAGGTTAGCGGTTAGAAACCACCAGCTGCTCTGTGGGAGAAAGATGAGGCTTTCTGCTCTTGTAAAGAGTAAAATCTCAGAAACCCAGAGGCAGTTTCACCCTGCCCCATAGGGTCACTGTGAGTTGGAATCAACTCGATGGCCGTGAATTGAGCTGTTGAGTTGATGCTCTCTGGAAAAGGACATCCCATGTGGGAAGAGTAAAGGGTTATTGAAAAAGAGGAAGACCCTCAAGGAGATGGAGTGACACAGTGAATGCAACAATGGGCTCAAACATAACAATTGTTAAGATAGTGTAGGGCCAGGCAACGTTTCATTCTGTTGCACAAGAGGTCGCCATGAGTCGGAACCAAGTCACTGCATCTAACAAGAACATGCTCTCTTCCTACGTTGTTTCTGTGGAGTCCAGTACAGCTCCTAGGGACCCCATGTGTGCGAAGAGTATAGTTCCATTGGAGTGTACTGCAGCTGATCACTAGGCATGCATCCCGAGACACCGTTGGGTGAGTTCAAACCACTAGGCTACTTTCTGCCTAGTAGCTGAGTGCATAACCGTCTGTATCAACCTGGGAATCCTGTTGAATGTCCACCACTCATTCAATAGGTGCCTGCCACCTGGGCACAGTCCCTGGTCAGTGAACATGGCCAGTACTGACTTTTCACTGAAAGCTTGGTAATTCAAGTTTGTCAGAGGTGCCTCTGGAGGACCTGCATCTGAGAAGGCAGTGGAGTTGACTCGGGTGCAACTCGGACACGTGGGGTCACCAGGAGATGGTGGCAGTGTGGCAGTCCCTGGTCATCACTCGCTGACTAATCACAGCCCCCCCCCCCAACTTTGTGCTCCTGACTTTAATATCCGAAAGGGAAATTCCATTATCTTTTCATTCCATTTTCCCATGAACATGTGAAGCCCCCTCATACTGCTGTATGCTACGTTGTGGTATGAAATAGCAGATGCCTATCATTTACGTTCAGTTCTAGGGGAGGGGAGTCTCTTGCTCCTCAAGACTTTTTAAATTCTACCTTGTAGGGGAGGAGACGAGCCAGTCAGGGGTGATGTAGCAACTAAGAAAAATACAACTTTCCTCTAGTTCCTAAATGTTTCCTCCCCGCTCCCACTATCATGACACGAATTCTACCTTGCAAGTCTGGCTAGACCAGAGGATGTACACTGGTACAGATAGGAACTAGAAACACAGGGAATCCAGGGCGGATGATCCCTACAGGACCAGTGGTGTGAGTGGTGATACTGGGAGGGTAGAGGGAGAGTGGGTAGGAAAGAGGGAACTGATTACAAGGAACTATATGTGACCTCCTCCCTGGGGGACAAACAATCGAAAAGTGGGTGAAGGGAGACATCAGACAAGGTAAGATATGACAAAATAACATTTATAAGGTATCAAGGGCTCGGGAGGGAGGGGAAAATGAGGACCTAATGCTTAGGTGGCTTAAGTGGAGAGGAAATGTTTTGAGAATGATGGGGGCAACGAATGTACAAATGCGCTTTACACAATTGATGTATGTATGGATTGTGATAAGAGTTGTATGAGCCCCTAATAAAGTGATTAAAAATAAATAAATAAAATAAAAAGTAACTGCTTAAAAAAAAATTCTACCTTGTATTGGTTATTCCTTTATGGTTATACTCTAATATTAGCATTTAAATCTCTTGTTAAGAGTTCTGTTATGTTGTTGTTTCATGCACGGGGTCTTGTAATTATTTACTACTTTGTGGCATGTATGTATACTTAAGTTATCCAGTGTTTTATTTTGTTCGAGCTATCAGTGGAATCCTGCAGATGCAGCGTGTCCACAGGCCCTTTCCATTTTGCCCGTCATATACCAGGGCGTCATCCACACGAATGTTAGGGCTATCTAATCGCTCACTGGTGGTGATAAACCCAAACTGGTTCCAGTTTGGGCTTTTTCACACATTGCTGCTACAGATGTTTTAAAATACTGTCTCGTGACACATGCATGCAGAAGTTTCTCTTGAATGCAGAATTGGAAGAGAAATTGCTGAATGAAAGGGCCTGCATATTTGTAGCTTCGCTCCTGCTCGCTATTTTTCACAAGGTTGTCCCAGTGTATACCTCTATCAGCAGTTCTAGTGTACTCCTATGGCTCTACATATTCGCCAACTCTTGGATTTGTCCTCTCTGGCAGGGAGGAAGCGGTTGAGTTGAGCATCTTTTTGTCTATGTAAGCTGTCTTCTTATTTAAGAATCCCCTTTCATGACTTTGGCCCCTTTTTCTCCTGGGTTACTTGGCTTTCTTAGTGATTCACAGCATCTGTGTGTAATCAGTAAACTATTCCTTGGCCGGTTACCTTTGGTCCAACTGTAGTCTCTTAGTTTGTGCCATTTGTGGCTTTTCCACCAGTGTTGCGAGGCTGCCTGTGTAGGAGCTCATCTTGATTAGTGCATCTCATTTCTGTGTGTTCCCTTCTATTAGTACTTGACCCTGAGTACTGGGTTCCCTTTATCAAAATCTGTGGTACTTTTCCTTTCAGCCAAGAATGGCCGAGTGGATTCTGAGGACCGAAGGAGCCGCCACTGTCCATACCTGGATACCATTAACAGGTCAGTAGGGCGGGTGATGAGGGCAACAAAAAGAACAACAATCTATGTAGAAGGTACATGGGACAAGTTTTTTTATCCCTTCTAAAGCTGCCTGCCCTGAAAATTGTTCTGCTTTCTATTATACTCACTTGTCATTGAAGTGATCAGGTTTCACAGACCAGGTCACTATGTAAAATCAGCGTTAGGTAAACATGGAGGGCGACCACCCCCAATAACAAAATGGAAGATGAACACATTATGACATCACTGCCAAATGACAGATCCCTGAGAACCATGGCCTGAAGAAGTTGACAGGTAACCTTCACCATAGCAGTGTTGCTCAACCTTAACCACGAGCAGTGTTACTCTTGCCTTGCACCCCCGCCTTATTACGGCCGCATGTCAGTAATGCACACAAGAATCGAGACTTTCACTGTGACAAAGGTGAAGTGTCAGGTAATGAGATGGTAAGTGAGCAGTAGGGGCTTCCTTTACTTGAGGGGAGGCCGAGTGTATTTTGTAGAACAGAGCTAATGTTTCTGGGTGAGCCCATGTGTGAAGAGCTTGTAGTTCATCTTGAATGCGTGTTGGGATAATAGAGCTATGTGTCCCTAGAAATGGTAATAGCAAAATGGAACATTTGTTGCGTGCCCATATATGCCAGGTGCTATTCTGAGTGCTTGGGATTCAACAGGCGGAGACCCCACAGAGATAAACGTTTGTCCTAAAGCAGAAGTATTTACATATCTTTTCTTGGTCCTCTTTTTTTCCCCCGACCCAGACGGCTTAGAATGCTTTTCAGTCTACCCAGTAGAACGTTACACAAAGACAGATAGATGGTTCTAGGTAAGGCTGCTCATGTAGCTAGATATTGAGCATCTGGAAGATGGCTTGTGCGATTAAGGTACTGAATTTGACATTTGAATGCGTAAATAACCACGTGTGGTTCAAACTCCACTCACTGCCATGGAGTTGATGCTGACTCATAGCAATCCTCTAGGACAGGCCAGAACTGACCCCGTGAGTTTCTGAGACTGCCATTCTCTTTATGGGAATAGAAAGCCCCGTCTTTCTCCCGGTTGCGGCTGGTGATTTTGAATTTCTGACTATGGTTAGCAGCCCAACTCATAACCACTCCGCCACCAAGGCCTCCTTTTAGTGTGAATGGTGGCCCCTTTATAGCTAGGGCAGTGGGAAGGGACCAGTACTAACTAATGAGAGTTAGTGAGAAGAAATCCTCTTGCCACTGTGGACTCTGGAGATAATGGTCTTTGTCCCTCACCTGCCCACACTCATACTGTTACTTGCATTTAGAGCAGTAGATCTATTTGCGGGTATTCGCCTGAACTTCCCCAGGCTTTCCATTTACTCTGTGGACAACATTTTCCATTTTTTAAAGATACCTTTTTTCTTTTGAAGAGTAACAATTTTACTCAAAGTGATTTTGATGAAAGGTTATAGTCACTCTTTCTGTCCTCCTCTCAGTAGTCTTTTCATTTGGAATGCTATTGGGCCGCTCCCTTTAGTTCTCCCTTCAGAGAGAGTGACTGTGAAGGAAGGCTCATGAATAGTCGTGAGAAGCAGGTCACTGACTGGGTGTCTGCTGACACCTTGACCCTGCTGTGGACTATGGTGGGTGAGGAGGAGTTTATGCTCCCAGTTTATGAGCCTTCTTTGAAGAATGCTATTGACATTGTGGACGTAGTGTCAGTACTGCTTAGTTGTCCACTTGGACATCCACCTCTCTTCATTGTCTTTTCCATTGGTTCTTTAGGAGTGTGCTGGACTTCGACTTTGAGAAACTGTGTTCCATCTCCCTCTCCCATATTAATGCATATGCCTGCTTGGTGTGCGGCAAGTACTTTCAAGGTAAATAACATTACATATTGTTCACTTGCTAAGCATTCTGCACCAGGCACAGGTTTTCTGAGAGTCTTCTTTCTAGTTAAATTTTAAAGACAGGAAGCTACTTTCAGGAGTCTTGATCAGTAATCCTGATATTAGTCCCCAGTGACTGTTAGAAACCAGTAGACGGCTCTGGGCAGAACCTGCATAGATCTCAATGGGAGAACATTGAATCCGGGGTGGGGGTGGGGGGGTGGGGGAACTGATCACAAGGATCTACACAGAACCCCCTCCCAGGGGAGGGACAACAGAAAAGTGGGTGAAGGGAGATGTCGGTCAGTGTAAGACATGAAAAAATAATAATAATTGATAAATTATCAAGGGTTTGTGAGGGAGGGGAAAATTGAGGAGCTGATACGAAGGGCTTAAGTAGAAAGCAAAGGTTTTGAGTATGATGATGGCAACAAATGTACAAATGTGCTTGACACAATGGCTGTATGTATGGATTGTGATAAGAGTTGTATGAGCCCCCAATAAAAATATTCTTTTTAAATGGAATTAAAAGATGTTAGAATTTCCCCTTGAAAAGCAAACAAAAACAAAAAACTGAGTCCTGTGACAGGTGGTGTCAAGGAGCCCATAGATTCTGTGTTTTTTAATCTGCCCCCAAATTGGTTTCATTGCATTGAGACCAAGCAAGCTTTACGCATATAGTGTAGTGGAGGATATGAAAGAAATAGTAACTACTTGCTCACTCTTGTAAGAAGTCCAGGTGAACACCCAAAGCAGTTTGTCAACCCTGAGAGACCTTAAGATCATTGCACCCTGCGTGGCACCGAGGACTCTGAGGCAGTAAGCAGTGGAAAGAAGAAAAACTCATTGTTAGCACAAGTGTTGTCAAGTCCATGAAGGAGGTGGAGGTGGGACTTGCAGGGCATACAGGGTTTGAATGGCAAAGAGGGAGCTAGAAAGAGTGGCATCATGAACAAAGGTACTTGGGTGCAGGATTCTCCAAATTTTGGACAATTGGACATTCAGAACAAGGGATGATGGACTGTCCTCGGATAAAGGTGTGTATGCTTGTGAGCCTAAAAAAGTTCCTGGAAAAATTCCATTATCTTTTAACCAAGTTGTCAACTAATCTTTGGAAGCTCCACTGCCTATGGAATTAGTTTTCCCGGCTAATGGCTTATGCCTTCTAGGGAACAAAGTACCCGATAAGCTCTTGTTTTTCACGAAAGGTGGTGATGAGAGACTTCATTTCATGGATGGTGTAGACTTTACTGCTATTCGTGTGTTCTAGTGTTAAAAACAGAGGTAAGTCAGGCATGGTCTGTGTCTCTCTGGGCTCTGTCTGCTCTTATAGCCTCTCACCCTCCTCTGCAGGCCGGGGCTTGAAGTCACACGCCTACATTCATAGTGTCCAGTTCAGCCACCATGTCTTCCTCAATCTCCACACCCTCAAGTTCTACTGCCTCCCCGACAACTATGAGATCATCGATTCTTCCCTGGAGGACATCACGGTCTGTGTGCACGAGGGCTGGGTCGGGCTGCTCTTCTCTGGAACTTCCCAGGGAAGGCTTCATTCTCTGTGGGTAGAACCAGGGAAACCAAGTAAAGGGGGTCAGGGTTCAGAATTGAAGCCTGTAGTTTGCAACCACCTTGCAGAAATAGGGCGGCAGAAATTTGGCTGCTCTCCACATGGTGGGCCTAAATCTTTAAAAACAAACACACACCAAAATGGTAGTTTATTAATTAAAATTTGGAAGAGTTCTTGCCAGTGATTAAAGTATGTGCCTCTTAGCTATCTTATTAGCCCCTGGGGGGGTTCTTTATGGAAGCAGAAAGCCCCATCTTTCGCCCTCTGAACAGCTGTTGGTTTCAAACTGCTGACCCTGTGGATCTCAGCCCGGTGCATAACTGCTCCCCGCCCACCCCACATGGCTCCGTAGAGTCCCTTGTAGATGGGGTTGAAGGGTGTGTGGCATCCCATATCCTGGCCCGGAATTGGAGCGAGCCTGTTCTCTGAGCTTGCAGCAGGACAGCGGTTAGCAGGTCTGCGAGCCCAGCCTCGAGGTTGTGGCTCTGCTGTGTGACCTGAGCCAAGAGTTTTTTGCTCTTCGCGGTGGAGGCCATGTGAAGTCCTCTTGGGCTTTGGTTAATGTTGAGATTGTTAATGATTATTGTCCTTTTTTCAGTGAGTGAGTATATATTTATTTCTTTTAAAGGAAAGGTGTTCAGGGTTTTTGAAATACAACTTAAGCTGTGGAATGTTTCCAGGTCTGTTAATAATTGACGTTAAAATAGTGAGGAACTGTATTTACAGGAGAATTGAAAGAAAGTTTTTAAAGCAAACCACTGGTGAACTCTGCCCAGTTCAGAACCCTTTTAGATGACCCACATAGCTCCCTAGCTGGGAGGACTCTGATCCCAGTCACAGGATGTCCCCAAGAGCCTCAGTCCTGCTCTAGGGAAGGAGGCATGTTTGTGCCTTAGTGGGTAGGTGAGCTGTCTGTCAGCACACCCCAGGGTGGCCCTGCAGTTCCTGGCAGTCAGCTCTTGGTCAGGATGTTGAGCTCTGAGGGAAGATTGGGATTCAGTGATTTGGTTAAACACAGAAATCCCCTTAGCCTAGCAGTGTGGAGAAGACATGCCCCACATGACCTCTGTCTACACTGAGTGGTGGGGCTGTTTGGGGTGTGGTCAGAAGTTTGTGATCTATTTGTGTTTTGTCTCTCACAGAAGTAGCTGTTCCAGATGAATCTAGTCTGTTGAATGAATTGTGTTCACAGTACTCTAATAACAGAGTTTCCTTGTGCCTGCAGTATGTCTTGAAGCCCACTTTCACAAAGCAGCAGATTACAAACTTGGACAAGCAGGCTAAATTGTCCCGGGCATATGATGGCACCACTTACCTGCCAGGTATCGTGGGGCTGAATAACATAAAGGCCAACGACTATGCCAATGCTGTCCTTCAGGTAGGATTCCATTGGGAATGTTGAAGAGAGGGTGGCCCGGGGGCAGTAGGGGGGGGGGGGTGACCAGGAAACCACTGCCGTCTTGTAGAGAGCCGTGGAGTGGTCCCTAGGCATTGAGTCTTGCTGAGAACTCTGCCTGAGTCTTTGCTGTGCCACAAGCTACCTGTCCTCTCTCTAGCTGCTCAAGAGATTGCTACAGGGTTCATGGCTTTGGGGCTTCTTAGGGCGTGAGGGTTAGGAAAAGGCAGAAAGCCAGAGTTGTCTTTCATTTAATGAAAAGTACAAGGTTTTTAAAAATCATATAAATAATATGTGCATGTAGTTGGAAACTAAAAAATGTTGGTAAGCATAGGCATAAACGGGAGAATTGACAGGGCAGCAACTGTACAACGCTGCTGGACCTAAGTGGATTACGGACTGTTAACATCTGTAAGAGCTTCCAATAGATGATTAATTTTTTTAAAAAAGAAAAAATTGAAGCAATCCCAGGCTTTGGACAAAATTAATTGATTTTTAAAAATCGTAAACATAAGCCTAGGTTTCCTGGGGAAGCATGTTTAAAGTGAAAGCCGTGTCTTTTTCCTTCCCATAGCTCCGTCTCAGGATGGCTCACAGTGTCCAGATTCCCAACCATTTTAAAAACTAGATTCATACATTCAGGATGTTCTGTCACAGGGCAGTATCATGGTTTAGTTGGCTAGTCCCGAGATTGATAGACACAATTGAACTTGTCATTGCCTTTATTTCCCTACCTCCTGTGCTACAGTGAGTGTCCTCCAGGCAGTCTGATACTCTCTGTGGCACTGTTACGTTCTGGGTTTGCAAATGCCCACAGCTCTGTGTTGTTGGAACGTTTATGAAGTCGGATATGAATAGGACCCCTGGTGGCACACTGGTGACAGTTCTCTTCAGCTTTTTGGACTTCCAAAATGTCCTGTGCAGCCACAGGGTGCTTCAGCGTGTGACGTAAAGTGGGAGAGGCCTTAGAAGGGCCCTTGGTGGCACAGTGAGATTAAGCAGCCGCTTCCAGAAAGATTTATTGCCTCAAGCCCTCCCTGTCTTAGAGTTGCTGTGAGCTAGAATAGACTCGTTGGCAGTGGGTTTATAATATATATATGTACCTTACTATATATTTAAGTATACAATGTGAAATCAGTAAATACTCTGCAACATTAGAGAAAATTATTAATTTTTTAAAGAAAAAGTTATAACTCTTACAGATACATGAGTCTACTAGGATCATATTATGTCCCTTCTTCCACTAATTTATTTTAAAAATTTGCTTTTAGTAGAAATCTATGCAACAAAATACCAACTGTTCATTAATTTTTCCGTGTACCAGTCATTGGCAGTGGCTGCAGTCGTGTCCTCATCCTCCCCAGCTCTGCCCATGTTGTGTCACCAGTGCTAGCTTAGGCTCTGCCCCTGCTCTAGTCATCTGTAATGACCAGCGTGAAAAACGTGCTCCTCAGACCAGTCAGCTGAGTGAGACCCACGGGGCAGCATTTGCCCAGAGCATGAGAGAAGATAGGGAGGGACTAGGACTGGACCGATGGAATGGGTAACCAAGGTGGGTGGGGAGAAGGAAGGAGGAAACAAGTTCTCATCTGTGCTGTAAGGTTAGCATTGTCCATTTGTTTTTAAGTAAGGTGAATTTCCTACGGAACTATGAGACTAACCAAGTGTCTGAAGAGATGAATAAACCCTTTGGTGAGATTGCCAGTAAAATAGGCTGAGTGGGCCAGCTGTTCCCGCCTCTGGGTCTTCTCTCTCTAAGGCTGCTGCTGTGTTTTGCATTACTGCTGTTCTGTGGGGATGGGCTTTGAGGACCGGAAGGCCAGAGAGCAGCCTCGTCAGTCACACCATGTACATAACAGCATTAGGAACAACTTTCAGCCATACTTTTCTATAGAGAGTACCGTTTGGCAAGGCAACTGCTCGCTAAGGAGGAAGTCCTTGTTTCTTGGTCTGAGCTAAACTTGCTGTGGCTTCCCTGATCCCCTCTCTGGTCATAGCTCCCTGGGCCCTGCGTCGTCTTCACCAGAAACAGCAGGATTTATTATCCTTAGTAGAAACGTTTGTCTAAATGAAATACCTCACCAGAGAAGCCTGGGCTTGACGCACAGCGCTGGTGAGGACTTGTGCACCCTGAGGAAGGGATCTGTGGGGAGACTTTTCATCTAGGGTTGTTCCCGGGATTGTTTCGTACCCCAGGCTACTCGCATGTGTCCTTCCTCCAGCTGTTTGTCTTTTTCTGGACAAATGTGGTCAGATTTAATTAGGTTCTACTAAACCGACTACTTTCTGTCGTCCCCCAGTACAGTCTTTTTCATATTCAATTGTATCATTTTATGACCGCTTTATCAGCATTACATTTTAGGGAAGCACCACGTTTTTTGAAGGTGATTACAGAAGAGAGGGAGGTAAACTCTCCCCGACTAAAATAATGGTGACGAATGAGCATTGCGGTTTCTAGCCTTCAATTCCTTAATGAGTCAAGTTTAGTCAGGGGCATAATTAGAGTTAAAAAAGAAATTATTAAGTAAATTGGTCAGTGGATAGGAGCGTGAATACATCTATTAAATTCTTTTCTCGTGGCTACATTAACCAAGTGTCTGAAAAACTGAATTTTGTATGCGTATCAGTGGGCAAGGGAGTGCTGTCGGGAACGCTGGGTAGCATTCTCTGGGGTCCACTGACCTCTGACTCTTAAGGCCGCGCAGGCACACCACAGGATCTATTAAAGTAGCCTGGGTGGGAGAAGCCTGGCTCCAAGGGGTCCTCCAAAGAAGCGGTGGGCTCATGGTGAGTGCTTGACTTGTAGGCTCTGTCGAATGTCCCTCCTCTCCGGAACTACTTCCTGGAAGAAGACAATTACAAGAACATCAGGCGTCCTCCTGGGGATATCATGTTCTTGCTGGTGCAGCGTTTTGGAGAGCTGATGAGAAAGCTCTGGAACCCTCGGAATTTTAAGGCGCATGTCTCTCCCCATGAAATGCTTCAGGCTGTTGTCCTTTGCAGTAAGAAGACGTTCCAGATCACCAAGCAAGGTAAGGACAAGTTACTCACGTGTCTCTGATTTTAGGCGGTCAAGACTCGTTTGACGAACAAACTTATTTTTCCCTTCCAAAGGAGCCCCTGTCTAGTGGGAAGACGGTTGTGCAGAAAGGGGCTGCAGTGTGCTCAGTGCTGGTAGAGGAAGCAGGCTACGCTGTGGGAGCACGAGGCCAGGACCTTCAATCCAACATGTGGGGATGGGTTGGGGGCGGAGGGGCGGAAAGGGACCCCTGAGTTTTCCCTAGAGGCAGAGGTAGGTTGGTGGGGAGGAGGGCCATTCGAGATAGGGAGGGCACTGGGCAGAAGCATGGAGGTGCAGGAGAGCCGGCTCCGACGGGAAGCACTGCAAATAGCAGGGCCCCTGGGCTCCAGGGGGCGGTGTGAAGGGCTGGGCCGGAATTGGGGAGGAGGGAGGTTTCTGTAAGGAATTTGGGTTACAGCCTGACAGCAGTGGTGCAGCAGTGGAGACTGGTGTGGCATCATGGCATCTTTTAAAAAATTAATTTAATTTATTTATTTTAATCATTTTTTAGGGGCTAATACAACCTTATCATAATCCATACATAAATCAATTGTGTAAAGCACATTTGTACATTCATTGCCCTCATCATTCTCAAAACATTTGCTCTCCACTTAAGCCCCTGGCATCAGCTCATTTTTCCCCCTCCCTCCCCGAAAATTAATTTTATTGATATAAAATTCACATATCATACATTTCAGTTGTGTAGTCATCACCACAGTCAATTTTAGTACATTTTCTCCTTTCTTGTACTCGTTATTAGCTCTCTATTTCTCCCCAGCTTCCTGTGCCAACCATTAATCCAGTTACCATCTCTCTAGATTTACCTGTCCTGGATTTCACATGCAAATTAAAAAGAAACTAAATGAGCGATGATACAATAACAAAAAGCCTCAGTCAAAGGAAAGCAGTTAATGAAAGGGAGACCAGATGATAAGGTGCTACATTTTAACCTAACTTAAAAACAAAAAACCCAAACTCACTGTCATTGTGTAGATACTAACTCACAGCTACTCAGTAGGACAGGGTAGCAATGCCCCCTGTGGGTTTCTGAGACTATAACTCTACAGGAGTAGAAAGCCTTGTTTTTCTCCATGGAGTGGCTGGATTTCAAACTGCTGACCTTTAAGTTAGCAGCCCCCCCCCCCAATCTTACACCTCTTGTAGCAATCCATACATCAGTTGTATCAAGCATACTTGTACATATGTTGCCACCATCATGTTCTAAACACTTTCTGTCTACTTGAGCCCTTGGTAGCAGCTCCTCTTCTTCCCCCTCCCTCCCACCCTAGTGAACAGTGGATACTTTATAAATTCTTTTTATTTTCATACTTTATACCATCTTCTGTCTCCCTTTTCTGTTATTTGTCCCTGGGGTGGGGTATGTGGGGCAGGTTGTACACGGATCATTGCAATTGGTTCCCCCTTTCTCCCCCTTCTCCCTCCCTCCCAACCTTCCCTCTACTCTACTCCCATTACTGTTCCTGAGGGGTTTATCTGCTCTGGATTGTGTGTTGAGAGCTCTTCTGTGTACCAGTGTACATACTCTGGTCTAGCAGGATTTGGAAAGTAGAACTGGGTGGAACATTAAAGAACTAGAGGACAAACAACCATTTTGATGTGAACCAGTGGGGTTGGAATGGAGACCCAAAGCCCATCTGTAGACAATTGGACATCTCCTCACAGAGGGGTCACAAGGAAGGTATGAGCCAGCTATGGTGCAGTATAGCACCACATTCCTCTAGTTCAGTGGTTCTCAACCTTCCTAATGCCAAGACCCATTAATACAGTTCCTCATGTTGTGGTGACCCCCACCCCCACCACCATAAAATTATTTTTGTTGCTACTTCATAATTATAATTTTGCTACTGTTAAGAATTGGGCAACCCCTGGGAAAGGGTTGCAACCAACAGGTTGAGAACCGCTGCTCTAGTTCTTTAATGCTTCCTTTCCCCCACTATCATGACCCCAGTTTTATCTTACAAATTTGGCTATGCCAGAGCATGTACACTGGTACAGATAGAGCTCTCTACACAAAGTATCCAGGACAGATAAACTCCTCAGGAACAACAATGACAGTAGGGTAGGGGAAAGTGCACGAGATAGGTTGAACAATGATTCATACAAACCCCCCACCCCAGGGTGACAAACAACAGAAACGTGGGTGAAGGGAGACAGAAGATGGTGTAAAGTATGAAAATAAAAATAATTCATAAATTATCCACTGTTCACTAGGGTGGGAGGGAGGGGGAAGAAGAGGAGCTGATACCAAGGGCTCAAGTAGAAAGAAAATGTTATTGGAAATGATGATGGCAGCATGTACAAATGTGCTTGATACAATTGATGTATGGATTGTTAGAAGAACTGTCAGAGCCTCCAATAAGATGATTTATTAAAAGAATAAGAATTAAAAAAAAAAAAGAAAGACGGAGAGGAAGTTGTGTGTTTTGTCAGTGCTGTCCTGCACCCTGGCTGCCTTGTCCCTTCCTTGTGACCCTTGTGGGTACAGATGGAGCAGCCTGACTCATAACCGCTGTCCACCATCTGCAGTGACCCGGTCTCAGAGAAGTCTTTCCCAGTCCTGACCTATGGGGATTTAATGGTCTCTGGTCATTGGGGCTTAATCCATGTGGTGACCTTGCAAATGGATTTTGGGGCTTCACTGCCACCCACAGTCTTCTGCAAACTGGGTCTTTCGAGTGTAAAATGTAGTACTGTTCTTTCCTCCAGATTTGGGTATTATTATTTACAATCTTTGGGTCACAACAGCTGGCCTCTTGCTTCTGTGTGGACTTAGCTGATGCCTCACTTAAATGGCTGTTTTAAGATAGCTTTTGAAACCCCAGAAGGCATTATTTCTGATAGCTGGGCACCATCTGATCTCTTCACCACACGTTAATTACTATAGCACCAAGTCTTCCATGATCTCTTCATGAGGGTGAGTCTGGAAGAGGAACAGTGATAGCAGGTTTCTTTTTTCATAGCATATCCTGCCTGAGGGGTGAGTTAGAGGGGATGCTCAATAATGACTCCTCAGCTTTTAAGGTTCTCAGGTATCTAACTCAGGCCCTTGAGTTGTGACCCTAGCGGACACAGTAGCACTGTTCCATCGCAGCTGCTGAGCCTGTGAATGTTTTACGGAAGCAGACTGTCCTCTTTGTCTCGCAGAAGACCTGCTAGGTTTGAGCCACCAACCTTGTAGTGAGGAGCTCCTTCAGATACTTAAAGCAAGAATAGGTAGGAATCCAAGTAGGTAAGGTAAGTAGATATTAGGAGACACTTGGGATAGATAAGCTCAAGATTATGTATTCTAGGTCAGGTTTTTTTTCCTCCATAAATCCCATTTATTCCCAAATGAACAGAAACTATTAAATTATATGAACACTACTGATGGTGCTTGCAGTTTCCAAGGTGACCAGTACGATCCTAACTTGAGCCCCGCCCTCCCTCTTGTGTATGCTGTGCCCTGGAGACGGTTGGAATGCCTAACAGCAGAATGGAGATCCCGTCCAAGCAGGCATCTGTCTCACAGCCGTTCACAATGTTTGCAGCCACTGTCTCAGTCCAGCTGGTGGAGGCTCTTGCTCTTTTTCACGGACCCTGTACTTCACCAGACGCGAAGTTCTTCCCCAGGAACAGGTCCCTTCTGATACCAGGTCCAAAATACGTGAGCTGCAGCGTGACCATCCTCACTTCTTAGAGACCTTCTGGCTGTATAGCTTCTGAGACCGATCTGTTCCTTTTCCCTGGCAGCCATGTTGTGCTGAGTCTGCTACACCAGCCCCACCGTTCAAAGGCATCCGTGTTCCTGTGCCTCCCCCTTTCATGGGCTGGCTTTCACACGCACGTGCAATGGCTTGAGGCAGCTGCACCTTAGTCTTCAAAGTGACATCTTTGCCTTTGAGCACCTTAACAATGCTGTGCAGCAGATCTGCCCATTTGCCGAGTAAATGACATCCTTGATAACTTCGGAAACTTTTCTTCATAGAACCACCTAATTCCCATCAGTTAGCATGGCTAGAGTATCTTCTGTTTTTAGAAATATTTGCTGCTTTATCAATTCTCTCCTGGACACAGATTTTTGTACTCAGGCTGTGCTGCATCAGGTGTGAAGGTTTTGTTTGAGAATGAGTGTTTTTAGGCGTGGACTGATCAGCGTTGACATTTGCAGAGCTCAACAGATGATCTTGGACTTGAGGTGGGCATTGGACTGTATCTTCTTTGAGAGCATGACTGCTGGCAGAATTGCAGAAAAATCAGGGTCATCCACTCCCCAATCAATCTGCCAAGTTTCTCTGCCCACAGTGATGTACCCAGCAGTTCCTTTGTCACAATGTAGTTTTCCCCACATCTCTGAGACCTAGTGGGGTATTCTTTGCCTAGTGCTTCGTCACATAGAGAGGGTCTTGCTGTGGTAGGATAAGGCATTGTGTGAGGGGAATTAGAAGAGAGTCACGTAGAAGGGTCTTGCTGTGGTAGGATAAGGCATTGTGTGAGGGGAATTAGAAGAGTCATCGTGGCATTACGAGGCCTTTGGTGTCGAACAGGATCCTTTGGGAGGGAAGTGCGCAATTATAAAAAATAAAATAGCTGAGCACAGGACAGGGGACTCAAGAGCCTAGAGTTTATTCAACAATCAGGTTTTATAGTAATGAAGCCTGCAAGCCTCTTGTTAATACAAACACATAAAGTGGGCAGGGTGTTAATCTTGAATATCCCAAGTCCTCCAGGGAAGTATCTCAAAGGAAATACCAGGCATACAAGAGACAAAAGGTGCTAATCGCTTCTTAAGCATAAGGAACAAAGGAAGCGGGTATTTTTAGAGCTAGGCATCTGCAGGAGACAGTTGTACATTAGCCTTTGTTGGGGGAGAGGTGCTGTGGAACCTGGAATATGTGTACCGGGGCTTTTCTCATCTGGGGCTGTGGAGGCGTGCCTCATTAGAGCTGGCGTGCCAAGCCCTGTGTCATGAGGGGAGAAGACCACGTACACTTTCTTCTAGGTCCCATGCTTCCCACACTTTGGGTTTAGGGAAATAAAATTATTATCCCACGGTCTATGAGATCTTAACTGAGTGGGCAAAGAGGACGTCGGATTGAGGTAGGTGTTCAGTGAGTGAGGAAGTATCTGGGTCCTGGGCTTCTAGACAGATGCCCTCCACAGATCAGGGTGTCGTGCACATGCTGTTTCCTGGTGACTCCGGGGTTAGCATTAGTTGCCTTTTCGGCCCTGGTGCTGGGTAACAACTCCTTCCTGCCTCCGCCACTGAAGAATCCTTGTGAGCCAGAGCAGGAAGGAAGGAAGCCGGAGCTTACTTAGCAAAGAGGTCATTTTCATTTGTGGTGTCACCTCTGGGTTTGAGGTACAGGTCTGGCTGGGACTGAGTTGATTTTTTAGGTCCTTCCATGGATCAGCGCTGGGCCACCTGCAGAAGAGTCTCCATCAGGATCGGAGGAAGACTCATTGACATGCAGTGTGCACGTGACTTACCTTGCTTGTGGAGTGTGAAGAGGGCTTGAAGCACTTGCTGATGAAGATCACAGACAACCACCTTCAATATGGATTCCACCTCAACATGAAGAAAACGAAAGTCCACATAGCTGACCCTGTAAGAACTGTCGATGAGTGGAGAAAGTTTACAGTTGTCAAGGGTTTCATTGTTTCAAATATGTTAGGTTTGTGGGATAGTTTACCTCACTTCTTGCTTCACAACGCTGAAAGAATTCATGTGGCAGAAGCACTTTTGTAAACTTCTATGAGGGAAAGGGAAGTTTTGGGTACTATAATCTCCAAAAGTACACACTCTTTCTGGGAAAGCATGCAGGGCCAAGTGGCAGGGGCTGTGGGAAAGTTCAAGACTGAAAACGAGAGCGTGGGAAAACACGTGGAAGGAATGCAAAACAGGAGTTGGAGAGACTGCGTGTGGAGCCAAGAGCAGGGAAACCTAAGCGTGAGCGGGCTGCGAGTGGGCATACAGAGGTGTGCAGGCGCACGTGCGAGGGAGGAATCTCACCCTCCGCTTGCAACACGCAACATGGGAAGAGTGAAAAAAGGGGGTGGGGGTGGGGGGCTTGGCCTGCCTGTGGCTGGCTTTTGTATCTACTGGTTAGGGAGGCATAGTTGAGGGTATTGGCTGAGTTTTAGCACACCTGTGTGATGCCATGTGTCTAGGTTGTGGCCAGGCTTAGCTTCACCTGCGCCTAGGTGGCCCTAGTCTGCACACTCTCAGTTTGGATTCTTCCATAGGTGTCTAATGGGTGCCTGATTTCCCTGATCCCCTGCATTGTGGCCTTTGGCAGGCATTTGGGGGGACACCCTCCCCTCTGTCCTTATTTTGGCTACCTAGCAGAGCCTCAGTCCTTGCCCACGGAAGGAGCAGTCAGATCAAATGATGAACTACATTGGGCAGAGCTGCTGCCAAAGTCCTCTTTAAAAGGTTAAAGGCAAAGGGAACAGGTTGCGGACAAAGGCATGCCTGACCCAAGCCAGGGTTACTTTCATTCTCCATGCACGTGAGAGCGGACAGGATGAGCACTGAACTCGAACCGATGCCTTTGAACGATGGCGTTGGCAAAGTCCATCGGAAGCACCGGAGACTGCCGGAGGCGTGAACAAATCTGTCCTGGAAGAAAGACATCCAGAGTGAAGCCGGTGAGACCGCGTCTCGTGCCTGAGGAGAGATCCCTCTGGGAAGGACATCACGCTTGGTAAAGGAGAGGGTCATGGAAAGTCCTCGGAAAGATGGGCTGGCTCCGTGGCTGCAAATAGACTCAAACCTGGCAGCCTCAGGATGGGATGGACCGGCAGTGTTTGGTTCTGTTGTACATAGGGTGGATTTTGAGTCAGAGCCGACTTGACGGCACCTCACAGCAACACATAGATCTGAAAGCCCGATGAGCAAGGAGTGGAAGGCCCTGAGCCGGGTGGAGGCGACTGCCCCAGGGGCAGAGTGATGTGGCCAGAAAGGAAGGAGGACAACTGGGGCAAGGTTTGGGTAGGTCGTGCCTCCCAGCTCTGACATGTCTCACCCCTCCCTTTTTCCCCAGGGGATGGAGTCGACTTTCTGTCCTGGTTTCTGAATGCCCTGCACTCAGCCCTGGGGGGCACAAAGAAGAAGAAGAAGAGTAAGTTCCGTTCCCGGGAAGAGAACCACTTTTTGTGTGCTTCCTTTAGAAAGCACGGCGGCTCCCCATCGTTTGTACTCACCGTTCTCTTTGTGTCTGCCTGTGTGCTGTGTGTCCTGGTGGGCTGTTGGGGTGAAGGGCAGTCCTATCTGTTAAACACATGCCCAAAATGTTGCTCCTGAATTGGCCTCTCTCTACATTTTTGTTGAAATGTGGTCATGGTTTGTACTAAGTGGAAAGGGGCACATCTATGCCCTGGAAATCCTGAGCCGGTCTTAAGCAGGGGGACTGAACAGTGAGTTCTAGACTCCCAGTCTCCTGCCCTCATGATAATTCGTGTGAGGAGGACTCTGTTGGTTGTTTGCCTGGCCTTTAAGTTGAAGGCCAAACCCGGTGAAAACTTGGTTCCTCACCCTGAACCTAGACTGGGGGCAGCGCTGCTGGCCTCCCTGGCAGGTGCCCAGACGTTGAGTCTCTCAGCCCTTCAGCTATTGTGTTGATGTGGAGGTAGTGAAATGTTTTCCTTGAGTGCCACTTAGCACTACTAGCTAGTGACTACAGAGCGAGGTGGATCATCTGGGGCCCCGATTGGTTTTCTGACTTCCTAGTGACTGTTGCCCTCAGTGTCGCAGTGACGGCGTTGGTGGCTGTCTCTTGCTGTGTCCTTCCTCTGTGTGCTCCTGCCACCCCTGCCCAGTGTCTTCAGTCTGTGCTTGCCCTCAGTTCTGTGCCGGGTCCTGCCGTGCTCTCTGTCTCACTGCTTCGGGTCTGATCTGCCTGCCTGTCTGCCGCTTCCTTCTGTGTCCAGTGCAGCCTGGGCATTGTCTTCGTTCCCAGGCAGCGCGTGCTTCTGAGACCTGTTCTGCGGGGAGCCTTTTGTGACTCATGTTTCACCAGCACTTTAAACCAGCACTCATTTTTCATTCAGTGCTGCGGGTTTAAGGGAGGGGGGGGGTAGAGGTAGCGTTGAGATTTACACAGGTACAGTGATCAGGATGCCGAGGTGGCATGCAGGGGAACAGGTGCGTTTAGTGAGCTCTTTGGTTCTTGTGCTGGAAGAGGATGACTGACTTCCAAACCTTAGAAGTTGCACATGTATTTGGAAAAGCTTTTCACCCTTACAGAGTTTGATTTCTGTTTGTGCAGCAATCGTGACCGACGTATTCCAAGGGTCCATGAGGATCTTCACCAAAAAGCTCCCCCACCCTGATCTGGTGAGTGGCCGGGCCTTGCTCTGGGACTGGTTTGTTCTGGGACTGGTTTGTTCTGCCGGAGGCATTTAGGGGAGATAAGCAAAGCTTGGGGAACTGACATCCCTTGCCAAGTGAAAAGGTTCTACAAGAATCTCTGCCAAGGAGCAGGCCCCTCGGGCTCCTATACTGCTTGTGTTCTGGAGAAATTTGGAGGCTGGTTGGAGTTGGCCACTGGGTGGTGCTGGTGTGTTTTCAGAAGGCTCAGGTAACACTTTCTAGAAGTCGGGTGTGCCTCTGCGGGTCAGACCTCTGAAGATGGAAGGCACTGCCCCCTGTGTTGAACTGACGGTGCTGCTGCCACCGCAGCCGCAGGTGAAACTGCCCAGCCACGCGCTGTGGGGCTCTTCTCCCCAGCCACGTGGGCGGAAAATGAAGCGGCTGTGAATGCTGCAAGCCAGGCTTTCTTTGCGTCTGTATTGGCTCCCTGCTGCTCACCTCATCCTCATCCTCAGCCTCCATCTCCGACTCCCTAGCCTGCAGAGGAGAAGGAGCAATTGCTCCACAACGACGAGTACCAGGAGACGATGGTGGAGTCCACCTTCATGTACTTGACGCTGGACCTGCCCACCGCCCCACTCTACAAGGACGAGAAGGAGCAGCTCATCATCCCGCAGGTGCCGCTCTTCAACATCCTGGCCAAGTTCAATGGCATCACTGAGAAGGTAGCCCATTTGCCTCCTGCCCCTGCTTTTCTTTGTAGACTCGAGACCCACCACATGCGTGCCGTACGTTTCTTATAAATGCACAGTCGCTGTGGGGCCTCCTAGACCCCTGGGTATTTCCAGATGGTTGCCCCCTCCTGTAATTCTCAGACATCTCTGTTACGCTTTCTTTTTCCGGCTAGTGTAGAGAAAGGAGGAGCGAATATAGGACAGTACAAATGCAAAAAAGTAGAAAACCTTCCATCCTTAAAAATTGGCATCGACATAGAGTGGGTATGCGTTGGGCTGGGAACCCGCTACTCTGAGAGGAAATGATGAGGTCAGCTACTTGGACCGTGAAGAGTGACAGGCTCAGAAACCCCCAGGGACAGGTCTGTCTGCTCACTGTGACACGGATTGACTGAATTATGTTGAGCTGTATCAATAAGCACGATATGAAACGATTTAAGTTAATAAAATACGTTTTCCCACAATATTACCCCTTATCAAGTTAAAGCAGACTTTTAAAACTATTTTCTTAGTTTAATTTCCTCTTCTATGTTTATAAACTTAACCTGTTGTTTTTTTTGAAGAGTGTTTTGTTTTATTTGAAACCTCCTGTATTTGAAACCTTGTCTTTTCCTTCTCTATTCGTCAAGGTTCTTTTGCTTTCAAATGTCAAATTCCAATAAAAACCTACCTCAAGTAGAAGAGGCATTGTACTGGAAGGAATCTCCTGGGGCCTAAGGAAGAATGGAATCTTCCTGGCCTTGGGGAGGACACACGCTAGAGGACTGGGCTCCCACACATGGTGATCTGTGGGCATCCCTTGCATGCTGTCACTGTTATTTCAGATAATAATAATTTCCTGGCCCTTCACTATTGTTTACATTTATTTGGACTTAGTATTGCTCCATTTAGTGTAAGCATAAATGTTGGTATATGCTCCTTGGGATTACAGTTCTTCAGCAAGTTTATAGCTGTAACAAATTACACACTGCATACAAGTACAACTTGGATAACACCAGTGACCTCGATGAGCAGTGCTGCTGTCATGGCTACCCCCCATTGCTCCATGCTCTCTGAATGTGGTACTGGTCGCCCTGGAGTGAAGCTCAGATTTCCCCACCATCGAGTCTGTTGATTTCTTGGGAAGGCTTTATAAGCTAGGCTCTGCCCACATTGAGATATGAATCTGTTTCTGTCCCTTTTTGCAGTGGTCTGAGATAATTAGAATAGTGCTTCTTGAAACCAATCTGTTCTTAGGTACAAATGAAGTGAAGTCTCTTGGCATTTACTTGGTACTTAAAAGTAACAGCTTTCTGAAATACAATTCATGTCATACGGTTCACCTGTTAAAGTGTACAGCAGGGGTCCTCAAACTTTTTAAACGGGTCCAGTTCACTGTCCCTCAGACCTGTTGGAGGGCCGGACTATAGTTTAAAAAAATACTATGAGCAAATTGCTATGCACACTGCACATATCTTATTTTGAAATAGAAAAACAAATGGGGCAAAAACACCCGGCGGGCCGGATAAATGTCCTCAGCAGGCCGCATGTGGCCCGCGGGCCATAGTTTGAGGACCCCTGGTGTACAGTGTCAGTGATGTTGATGTATGTAGCCATCATCACACTCAATTTTAGAGCATTTTCATCACCTCGAAAAGAAGCCCACCACTGCCCTACTCTCTTGCGCTACCCGAAACAGCCGTTGGCCTGTTTCTGTCTCTACATTTGTCTGGTCCGAACATTTTTATATAAATGGAGTCATTTGCAAACTGGCTCTTTCGCTTAACATGTTTTCAAGGATAACCCACATTTAGAACATTTATTATTACTTCATTCTTTTTTATGGCTGATTAGAATTCCATTTTATGGATAGGAGGAGTGTCCTAGTGGTACATTGGCGAAAGTGCTTGACTGCTAACCAAAAAGGTCAGTGGTTTGAACCCACCAGCTGCTCTGAGGGGAAAGATGGGGCAGTTTGTTACCTTGAAGATTTCCAGCTTTGGAAATGCTACTGGCCCATCCTCCGTCTTGCAGGGTAGCAGTGCATTGGAATCAACTGGATGTGGCAGCTGGTCTTGTTTTGGCTGAGATGGCTTTGTCGTATTTTATTCAACTGTTCATCAGTTGGGCTATTCGGGTGCAGGAGACAGGGACAGTGACTCACTTCCTCCCTAAGCGATGGTCCGCTTGAGGGGCCGGGGGCTTGGTGAATGGAGGCAGCAGCCGCTGCTCCATCTCAGTTGATGTGGAACCTCTGTGCTGTGAGCTGGAGCTGAGATGGTTGGGGTCTTGGTAGTCTCAGCAGTCTCTTGCCCTCAGTAGAATTTCTGTCCCCTGAGTCAGGATTTGAATTTAAAAAGGAACCCTGCGTCTCATCCCCACTTGCCCAGAGTTTAACCTCAGCAGTAGGTAGCTCAGATAGATGGGACATGCTCACGGCTGCCTCTCCTGGGACACAGTCCTCTGCACAGGAGCTTGGCTGCACTTGTCTGTAGCCGAGCGTCTTAGTTTGTGGAACAGGGTGGAGGGAGGGTGTGATACAGTCGTGGTTCAAATACCACAGATTCCCACTTAAAAAAAAAAATCATTTTATTGGGGGCTCATATTATTTAAAAAAAATGTTTCTCCCAGTCTCTGGACACAGGCTCATAGTGCTCACAGTCAAGCCAGAGGTGGACTGTGCTTACTTGCTAATGCATATAGTCATCGTTGAGGATATTTAAAGTGTGTGTGTGTGTCCCAGCTCATTTTAAATGACAGGGTTTCCTTGTCACCTCCAGAACTTGGCCCTGTAGAGGGCGGGTGACGTCACTGCCCTTTTCGCGCTTGTGACGGTTGGTCTCTGACTCCCGCCTCTCTGTTTCCACGTGTCAGACTTTACAAGTTGTACTTGTGTCCAGGACAAACAGACTCCTGTTCATTGTCCACTGAGCCCCAGAGCATGTCCTGGGTTCTCACCACTGTCCTTCATGCACGCAGTGGCCATCGGGGAAAGTTGCCATTGACCAAGAGTCCTGGAATCGTGGAGTGGGAAAGAGGGTGGGAGGTTGGTCACCAGCTCTCCTAGAATCCCCTCAATGTAAGGGGCTCCTCCCTGCTTCAGCAGTACCAGATCCACGGGTGTGCTCATCTAGTGATCTGGAAGTCCTCCCTTGTTTTGAATTAAGCGGGACAACCATGGTTCTTAAGGAGCTCTAGTAGAGCTGTGGGTTAGGCATTGGACTACTCATTGAAAGGTTGGTGGTTCAAACCCACCAGCTGCTCCTCAGAACAAAGATGAGGCTGTCTCTTCCTATAAAGATTTTGTCTCAGAAAACCTATATAGGGTCCATATAAGTCAGTTGACTTGGGTGGCAATGGGCTTGGTTTTGAGTTTATCATGGTTTCCCGAGGGTTCCTGGCGGTGCCATGGCTGAGTGTCTCCAGCGTCCAGACCCACCCTGCAGAGTGGCAGTTTGCTACTGTGAAAGATCACAACTGTGGAAACCCCATGGGGCAATTCCCTGGCCTTGTTGGGTCACTATGCGTTAGATTTGGTTTGACGGCAATGAGCTTTTATAATTGTGGTTTTAATTCCACAGTTGTGGAAAATCCTTTTTTTGTTGGACAGCGGTGTTCTCCTGTCGAGGAGAGTCTCCATGTTAGTCTGGTTATTGTCCAACAGTGTGATCATGTGCCGGAGGAGGGAGTGCCATTGGTCTTAGTCAGGTGGCTCATTTTAAACCAGTGACTTCGTGTCTGGGATCAGGTGACTTCTGAATTATAAGTGCAAAGCAAAATGACAGTTAAAAAACTAAACCAAGATGAAGCAAAAAAACCCCAAAAAACCCAGCAACGTCCCTGTTCCAATTCCAGTGCAAATTTGTTACTTTTCGTTTGTCCCTTTAGGAATATAAGACTTACAAGGAGAACTTCCTGAAGCGTTTCCAGCTCACCAAGCTGCCTCCTTATCTCATCTTCTGCATTAAGAGATTCACCAAGAACAACTTCTTTGTGGAGAAGAATCCAACCATTGTCAATTTCCCCATCACGTGAGTAATACCCGGGTTTTCTTTTCTCTTACGGGGATTCAGATCTCCGAGGATTTTGTATTAGTGTTAGTTTTGGACTCTCCATTACAGATGGGAAGGAACAAATCTACCTGTACTACACTGTTAAAGGGTTTTAAATGGGAAGGATACAAGTACAGTTAATCGGTTCTAGACCCTACCGTGATAAATGAAATTCCGTGAAGTAGGATTCCTTATTGTAAATCAAATATTTTCGTAGTTAGAGCATAGAGGACATGAAAAAACACCCGTTAGTCACCATTACACTCGTATTACCCAATTTATTTAAACGAAAAAGGGAAAATGCAGTAAAACATTTTGGACGTTACAATTATCATTTATTATTTATTATATTATTTATGGCATCAAGCGTGTACAGTATGAGCCAATCAGTGGCAGTAATGACAGAGTATGTGCTGTTACGCAAAAACCGCGATAGAGTGAAGCCGCGAAGTCGAAGCACGAAGTGGCGAGGGTTCACTGTATTTCAAGGACCCCAAGGGTAGACGTTTACCTCTGGAAGCAATCTCCCTTTCGCCTTTCTGTCCTGTTGCTTGTTGGGAGCTGCAGTGTAGGAAGAACAGCTGATGAAAGAGGAGTAGAGCAGGCTTGTTGAAAGCCCCTCAAACGATAGCTCTTTTACTTTACCGTGCAAAATCTTTGTAGGCTCACAGGGTGTGTTTCCCTAAAGTTACGTAGTTAACATAGTCTCTTACCATTTATGTGACTCAGTCTATTTCCCAACTTGAAAAATTCTTCGTTTGTTGACGTCATCCTTTGTTCCGCGTGCTGTCACTCCTCTAGGTTCCCGAGTCAGTTTCCGGCCTCTCTCCACAACTAGAACTAGCAAGCTGTGGAGTGAGGGCTGGCCAAGGGAGCCCTGGGGCGCTGGGTTGGGTGTGTGGCTGCTAACTGCAAGGTGATGGCAGTGTGTGTAGGGCAGTGTCCCTCACCGCACAGCCTTTGTCTAACACCCTGGCTGCATTTCTGTCTCCACTAGAAACGTGGACCTGAGAGAATACTTGTCTGAAGAAGTGCAGGCAGTCCACAAGAACACCACCTATGACCTCATTGCCAACATTGTGCATGACGGCAAGCCCTCAGAGGGCTCCTACCGGATCCACGTGCTCCACCACGTGAGTGGCTGAGGGGCAGGAGCAGGTTCCCTTTCTTCAGACTTCTGAGGGCAGTTCCCTGCAGCTTGCCTTGGCCTGGCTTTCTCAGAGCTTTGCCTGGTCATGGCTTTCTCAGAGGTCTGCAGTGGCTTTTAGCGTTACCTGCACATTGGCCTCTCGTGGGGCGTTTCATTAAGACTGACGTTTTCAACCAGGGCAGAGGTTCGGGATGCCACTCAGCACCTGACACTGCACAGGGCAGTCTCTGAAACCTCGATAGTCAGTGTCGAGGTGAGAAGCCCTGCATGGAGCAGCGGAGGGGAGCCAGGGCTTAACCGTGGTTCAAAGTTCCCTACGAGACGGGTCTGTGCAGCCACCGCTGAGGACCATCTCTGTGACTCGGGCTTTGTCACTCAGGGTGGGACCCAGGGACCAGCAGCACGGCCTTCCTCTTGTTAGAAGTGCCGGGTTCCAGGTCCCACCCAAACCTAATAAATAAGAGTCTGTATTTTAAGAAGAGCCTCAGATAGGTCTGCAATCAGTGTTTGTGAAGCACTGGTGAAGTCCCTTTTAGCTCAGAGCCTGTTCCTGTGTTTATGGCCGGAAAACACACCTCTGAGAAGGAGTCACTGGGCCTGGGGGCCAGGACCATCGTCGGGGGGGGGTGGGGGGGGACTAAGCTCAGTTGGCATAGCATAGTCCACAAAGACAGTGTCCTAGAGCCTGCTTTGGTGGGTGTATGGATTATGGAATGGAAAACTGATCATCTGTAAGTCTCCCCCAGTTCGCAGTAAAACCACACCCACTTGTCAGTGCCATCTTCTTAGAGATGAGGCCACCTGGGCCCAGAGTGTGAGTCACTTAACCTGCAGTAGTGGGAATGGGATTGGAACCAGGTGGAGCCCATTCTCAGAAACAGTTCTTGAATCATACTACATGGTTGTGACATTTCTTGATGACATCTATGTTGGGAAATATTAGAAATCTCTGGTCATGTCTTAGAAGTTCAGGTGGGTGAGGTAGGTGAGCTTCCAGAAGTACCTCTGGCACATCGAGATGCTGCTTTCTCCGATGGGAGGCGCGGATCATGATGTGAAGAGTGTGTGTTAAATTTGTAGCCCAGAGGACAGAGCTGGGGTGATGCAGATGTCTGTCACGGACACGTTTTCTTGTGTCGCCGTCGCTTTTGTTCTCCAGAGTGGAGTCGGGGTTGTTCGTTTGTAGGCTTTCCTTCCAGGGAGTGTGTCTAGCCTGTCATTTTGAGTTTGAAGGAGGCGTCTGAAGGGAGGAGTTGAGAGGGCTTCTTAAATTCTCCTGAAAATGCATACAAGTGCTCAAGCATTGAGATCAACGCATCAGAAATTCTAAATGGAATGACACCTGCAGAGGTCGCGTACCTCTTACTCATGACTCTGGATAGTCATGGTCACCCTCGGCTCTTTTTGCAGGGGACGGGCAAATGGTACGAGTTACAAGACCTGCAGGTGACGGACATCCTTCCCCAGATGATCACGCTGTCCGAGGCTTACATCCAGGTGAGCTGGGCACTGACTTAGTGGAAGGGTGAGCACAGAATAGGCCTTAATGAGTGGTGCCTGGGGCCAGTGAGAGGGGTGCTGTGGGAGCAGACAGGAAGTGGGTGTGAGGCTGGAATGGTAGGAGGAAGTGAGGTCCTCTACCCTAGTTAGAGGGGTGGGTGGGGACCGGGTTATGTGGCCCTTGGGTGAAGCAGAGATTTTCAGAAAGAGAAGAGCAGGGGGGCAGCGAGATTTGCAGGAGCAAGGATATGTTGACAGCTGGGTGAATTTGGCAGAGGTTTGTGGTCGGATTTTAAAGCCAAAAATTATCGACCAGGCCACCTAGGAGCCATCTCTGAAGTCTTCCCTGCTCCCCAGGCAAAGTTAGCCCCCTTCTCTTGGTGACTTGACAGCACTTTCGGCAGCCGGTCTTGGCATGCTGGCTGGCTGCTCCTGGCTGTTTGTCTTCTCCATCGGATAGAGAGCCCATGGAGAACAGTGCTGTCGTTGTCTCTCTGTGACAGCCCTGCTCTCTGGGGAAAGAAGAGAGTGAGACTAAGGAAAGGCTTTATTTTAGAACGAGAGAGAGACATCTTTCTCTTCTCAGTGCCTGGCTAAGGCTTGGCAGTGACCCTTTCTAGAAAGGGTGTTAGGAATAGGAGGATTTCTTAAGAGTGAAGAAAGGTAGAAAGTACAGTTGAATGAAGGTAATTTTCTGAAAGGTTCTGCACCAGCTTCAGGAATCTTGGTAGGTACGAATTGTGTACATATAAGGGCGTAAAGGGTTACCCGTGACCTGGTACAGAGGCTATTTAATAGACTTCGGTGACTGAGTGTCTCTGGGACCAGCTCCTTATCATCTCCTACTTATTTCTTACAGATTTGGAAGAGACGAGATAATGATGAAACCAACCAGCAGGGGGCTTGAAGGATGAGCCTTGGCCAGGGCACACCAGCTGCCGTCTGTGCATCAGAGTACGGAGCTTGCCGGCTCTCTAGGGCAGCCCGGCCCTCTGGGCCCTGGCTCATCTCAGAGCATCACGGGTGCCCTCCCGGGTGGCTTTGTGCCATCACCTACAATTTAGTTAGGTTGCTACTCCATCTCCTTCTGTGTAGCTCCTTTCTAGCTGCCCAGGCCAGCACTCTCTTTCTGAGTCGCTGGAGTATCTGAAGGACATGGTAATTTCTTCCAAGCCTCAGAATCCCAGGAAGAAGAGCTTGAAGCCAGTAACATCTTTTCCATCAATGAATAGGAATATGAATTGCGTGTGGGTTTCTTGATGTGTTTTTGGAATGGAGTAAATATTTTCCTTTTTAAACTAGCCTCTTGTTTTATTCTTTGTCCTTAGGCAACCGAAGTGTAGGATTAAAAAAAAAAAATTTCCCCCCAATTTTTGGTAGCAATATGCAGAACATTATCCATGTATCCATTAGCAGTGTGTACCTCAGACGTGTATCCGTTCACGGTGTGTATTTCAGATGTGTATCCATTCACATTCACATACAGTTAGATAACACTGGCTTCATCTCATTGTATCACTATTCTCACTACCTACCCTGTTTCCCCGAAAGTAAGACATCCCCCGAAAATAAGACCTACTTACAGTTTTGCCTCTCGCTGAAATATAAGGCATCTCCCCGAAGCTACCCTGGCTCTGGACCGTGGTGGCAGGTGCCGCCGCACAGCTCACTGTTGGCCGCAGCGCAGCTGGAGCAGACAGGAAGTGCGAGTCTCTTAATAAAACAATGAACAATAAATATGTACTGTATTCTTTTTCATGGAAAAATAAGACATCCCCTGAAAAGACCTAGCACATCTTTGGGAGCAAAAATTAATATGACACTGTCTTATTTTGGGGGAAACGGTACCCATGCTGCTTTGATGACCACTCATGTAGGCTTTCTACATTAAAATAACTGGTCAGTGTGAACGCGTATAGTTGCCTGCAAGTGTACCATGCTCAACACAGATAGTAATTGGACTTAAGTAGTATAATAGGAAAAATTTTTTTCCTCTTCTAAATGGTCTACCCTGCCATCTGTGTGTCCTCTGTTGGCCATGATGCTGGTCTCTCTCTCACCTGTGGGTGGTGTGTCAGGATGCCTTTATCCTCACGCAACAGCGTGTCCGACAAGGTTGGTGCAACAGTGCAGAGGCCATACGGGAAAAGGAAAAGCCAACTTCACACCAACCCAAGACCTATCGCCACAAGGCAGGGGCCAGAGACACCTTGCTGCACCCTTTACCTATTCTGACACCCGCGGTTCCGCCCACAGCCCTCCACTACTATGCTGGGTTCGACTTCATTGCAACCGCCACGTGACACCACACTTAGGGGCATGTATTAGGGAATTCAGCAGGTTCCCACAAGTCCGGGTCAGTAACAGTAAGGTTCCAGTCACTGCTCCACAGCAGCACCTCTCCTCAGCAGCACCTCTCCTCAGCCAAGTCTGGCCCTCGGCTTCTCAACTGTGCTCCCTTGGCGTTTACCTCTGGCCCAGCACATTCTCCTGCCCTGCCTCACAGCTGCAGAGTCGCCGGGCTGCTCCTCTTGTCTACAGTCTGAGCTTTGATCTCTGGTGTTGCCGTGGCTTCCTTGCCCCATGGTCTCCGAGTCACCGCCTCTGGTGCCTGCTTTGGGCCTCTGGCTCTTCAGATGTGCTCCACTGGGGGTTCTTCCTAATGGTCCTGGGGTTTCTCTTGTTTCTGAGATGGCTTTTCAGCACAGCAGAATTTTGAAGTGTGGTTTTGTCTTTTAGCAGACCACGTCCCCAAGAAAACAAAGGGAAGTAACGTTCACACCCTAGTCTTCAAAAAACAAAACTCATTGGCATCTAGTGAAGTCCAACTTCTAGCGACCTTACAGGGCAGAGAAGAAGTGTCCCTGTGGGTTTCCCAGACTAACTGCACCGGAGGACAGAGCCTTGTTTCCTCTTGTGGAGCAGCTGGTGCTTTCAAACTGCCGACCTCGCGGTGAGCAGCCCAGCCCGTCCGTCGCTATTAGACCACCAGGGTTTCTGTGCTGGCTGCTGAGTGGAGACTTCATCCCAACGTCACACTGTCTGTTAGCATAAAGGGGTCCCTCCCAAATGGGATGACTGAGGCCAGACTTTATAATACACCCCCTAAGGGATTATGGCTGGGAAGGCCATCTTAATTGACTACATCTCAGAGTGATTATTGTCATTGCACTTGGCAGGAAGTCTGGGCGTAGGTGGTTTCCACCGGGATGCATGTTTGACGTGTGAACAACGAGGAGGAAGGAAGCTTCTGCTGCAGCTGAGTGCAGTTCTGAGATCAGCCCGGCTAATGAGCCTCCAAGCAAAACAATGGCCTCACTGTTAGCAAATTGGAAGCTGTGGGAGGTGGGAATGAAGGAGCTGTGCTCCCTCCCTAGCCCAGGTGCAGACCTGGTTCCGAGCAGGACATCCACCTGGCTGCCCCACTTTGCAGCTGGAACAACACTTGCCCTTAGTTTCACTGGAGCGCCCAGTATTTCCTCTGCAAGCTTTGTTTCCTCCATCTAGCAATTGAACTTGGGGTTGGACCCAGACTCATCCTGACATTGCAAACAAGCTGACAATAGAGTAGACCAAACACTAACAACAAGAAGCGGGAAGAGTCGAGAATACCTGAAAGTCAAACTAACGGGCCTTGGGGAGCTGAGGGGAGATGGAAAGTCGAGGCGCTCTCTCCTCGGGATGCGCTCCGTTCTGTTTATGCCTGTGGCTTCAGGGCGATGAGGTGTAAACCTTAATCCCAGGCTGCTACAAGATACTGAATTTACAGCCAGCTTCCTCCTTGATGACTTCCAGGTGCTTTAAAGTCAACTCAAAATCAGCGTTCAACACTGTGGTTTTCCCTCTTCACCTTGACCCCATCGCATCGTTTGCTGTCTGGGTGAAAGACTTCACCTTGACCTATGTTCGCTGGAGTGCTTTATTCCACCCTCACTTCCCTGGTCTGCCACCGCGTCTTGGGAATCTTACATTTTAGTCTCTCCATGGTTCAAGCCATGGCAGCTTCTGTTTGTAGTATGTCAGTGTGAGCCTGGGTCTAATCAGGAGAGAGAAACCATAGGATAATCTGAACAGGGGCAGTTTAGTTCAAGAAGTATTAAATCCAATAACAAAACTAAAAAAACCCTCACTGCCATTGAGTCAATTCTGATTCGTGGCAACCCTATAGGGCAGGCTAGACCCGCCGCTGTGGATTCCTGAGATTGTAGCTCTTTATGAGAGTAGGTAGCCTCATCTTCCTCCCTCGGAGCGGCTGGTGGCTTGGAATTGCTGCCCGACAGGTTAGTAGCCCATCATAACCACTCTGTCATGGGGGGTTGGAATAACAAGTGATGGTTTAGAACAAACTCTTAAAAATGTAAGCACAGCAGGTGTCAGGAGCAGCCACTGTCTCTTGGAGATACACATCCAAACCTGCCAGGAGTCTGCCCTGTAGTGTGCTGGGGAAAACTTGACAGAGGGCTATGTCTCTGGCCAGGGATTGCTGCAGAACTCCAGGGGCAGGGACGATAATGCTGGGTGAAGCTGCTGGGAGCCAGGCCCTGGAGAACCAGAGAGCTGCAGGAGCAGGGTGATGGAGAAAGCTGCCATGTTGCTCTCAAGAGAGTCCACTAGAAGTAGGAAGTACCACATCTCCAGCTTTCTCCACTGACAAAGCTTTCGTGCCAGTTTTGAAGCAAAACACAATGGGCCCAGACCCATTTCCACATAGCAGGCCGGAAAGGTCAATTTGGAGCTGAGCTACAATAAATATACATTGTTACCTGGTACACTTCACCCCTTTGGCAACCCAGCCTCTAGATGAGCACAAACCCAGTCAAAGGAGCCGGGAGAGCACAGTGCTAGCTGAAAGCTTGGTGATGTCAACCCCAGTGGCTCGAGGGGACAGACCTGAATGAAGCCTGTTCCTGTAAAGATGCTAGCCTACAGTCCCTATGGGGCAGTTGCCCTCCATCATACAGGGCTATTAAAGACTTGGCACACAATCCACACTCCTTTGAACTTGCATACAACAACAAGACGCTGTTTCTGCCTAACAAACAGTCCACAATAACTGGAGACCTCTACTCTTGCCCAGATGAGGAGAAGCATAGTTCCAAGAATCATTGTTGATCTAGACTCTGAATTTTCTGATACCTAAAACTCACTGTCATCCAGTCAAGTCCAACTCAGCAACCCTGTAGGACACAGTAGAACTGCCCTGTGGATTTCTAAGACTAACTCTTTACAGGAAAAGAAAGTCTCACCTTTCTCCCAAGGAGCACCTGGTCGTTTTGAACTGCCAGCCTTAAAATGAATATCCCAACATGTAACCACCAGGCTCCTTCTGACACCTGAAATCCAACTCCCTGTCACGGAGCCAGTGCTCGCTCGTAGCGACCCCCTGTGGGTTTTGGAGGCTGTAACTTCACGGGAGTCGTGAATCCAGGCTTGCTCCAGCAGAGTTGCTGCTGGTTTCAAACTGCTGACCCTGTGGATTGCAGTCCAACGCGTACCCACCACACCACCAGGGCTCCTCCTGACACCTAAAGGCATCCTGGAAAATTTTCAATTGTCTCACATTCATCGGAAGGTTGGAAGTGAAGCAGGAGGACTGAGAAAGGATGGGCACATTTGAACGAGAGCTGGAAGGCATTCCTATGGGAAGTCCCCGGGCTGCCGGAAGGGCAGATGTGTCTTGGAAGACATCCAGGCAGAGCGCGGCTCAGAGACGAGAATGGCAAGCTTTTGTCTCATGGGCTTTGGACATGTTGTCAGGAGAGACCAGTCCCTGGAGAAGGGCATCCTGCTTGGTAAAGCGGAGGGGCAGCAAACAAGAGGAAGATTAGTGACGAGATGGATTCGCCCCACGGCTGCAACAGTGGGCTCTAATGTAACGGTTGAGAGGATGGCTGGGACCAGGCAGTGTTTTGTACTGAAGGATTCGGGTCCCTTTGAGGCGACACCTTGCTTGCTTAATGTAAAAGAGTGAAGAGCACTGTCATGAAAAATTGTGCAAAAGATCCCCCAAAGCATTCAAATAAATGCAAAGCACATGGTGAATGGACATGTAGAAAGATTAGGTGGTGTGTCCTTCGTAACCACAGAAATGTAAAATAGAGTAATGAGGAAAAGTCCTGTTTCATGTTCCAGATTAGCAGAGAGACAAAAGAGGACTGCTAGTCCTCAGGGCTGGCGGGTGTGGGGCAGAGGTACTGCTACGATAGTACTAACGTACTGCTCCAGAGGGCCCAGGAGACACGTCAACCTATATGGAAAGTAAGCATATGCACACCATAGTTAATGGCTCAACAATTTTTTT